TGGCACATGGAGATCTGCAGTCTTGCAGCCTTATTCTGGGGATTCACTTCTAACACCTTCTCAAAGTCACCCTTGGCTGACTCAAACTCGTTCATAAGCAGCTGGGCTTCACCCCTCCTGTACAAGCCCTTCTCATTGGCACTGTCCAGTCCAAGGGCCTATGAATAGACGGTCTATATTTTAGAAAGGATGACTGTAACGCTTCTTATTTTTCTAAATAACTTATCAAAGCTCTTTGGCCAAGGGAGTTGGAAGAGGCACACTGAAAAGACGGTGTTCAAAATAATTATATACTACTTATCAAAATACAAAAAAAACTCCCTAAATTAATTTCTGTATTTAATGCAATTCTTATAAAGACTCCCAAGAGGACTTGGGGAGGAGGCTCTTGAGAAATTCATTTTAAAGTTTATCAGAACAAGTAAATGTTCAAGGATGGCAGAGAAAATTTTGGATGGAAAAAATAAAAAGGAAAATAATGAGAGGAGACTAGTCCTACCAGAGGAAAAAAAATATAAAACTATTGAAATTAAAACAGTTTGGTTGCTGACACATGGACAAACAGGTCATTGGAACAAAGAATTGAGAATCACATGTATGTGTATAAACAAATTTAGTAATGACAAAGGTGGTAATACAAATCAGTGGGGAAAGGATTAACTCTGCAATAAATGGGGTCAAGATGGTGGCTATCCACATAAAAATAAGAGTTAAATTCCTGCTTTATGTCACAAAAACAAAAATAAATTCTCAACCAATTATATTTATATGTAAAAAACCTCATAAAATAACAACAGGGTTATTTTTATAATCTTATAGTAGGGTCACTACAAATTGGAATCGACTTAATAGCACACAGCAACAACATGGTAGGGAAGACCTTTCTAACTAGAAAGGAAAAGACAGATCTAAATACATAAATACTGAAACCATCAGTAAAGTTAAAAGACATATGAGAACAGGCTCCCTATTTGTCAGACAAAAAATTAATAAGGACTGTGTCAATTGACCAAAAGAGACAAATAATCTAGTCAAAGGGTATGAAAGGGCAATTCGCAGAAAAAATATAAATGGCTAATAAATAAC